ATCGGTCGATGCCGTTCTATCAGTATACAAATAAAACAACAGTCATTGATAAGATATAAATATATCTCATTTAAGTGTTTTGTTTTACACATTGTCTATTTGTACGTAGACCCCACGGGACGAAGGCAGCAACTGCAGTAGCACACGCTACGCCGCGGGACAACTTCCGTGGTGGCAAAACAGCAGATAATGATAAAAAGATCTTGGAGAATATGGAACTTCAAAAGAAAATCAGTCCGTGTGGCATTTGGTTGATGAATTGCTCAACACTTTTGACTTTTACCAACTGTCACAACAATTTCCTCAATGTAATTAAACTGTTCCAGCTAATTGCTGAACAGGACCACACCACAGGCATCAAAATCCAAGTGTCATCGCATTGCATTTCGCAAACAAATCAATTATCTTTTTTTTTCTATTTTCTATTTTCAATTTTTTTTTTTTTTAACTTGTGCAAACTGTTTTGTCGTATTTCTGAGGACCCCTGACTGATGGCTGATGGCTGTTTCCTTGCAAGGACAATTTGTGTGTGGCTTTGTCTTGTGCTGCGAGAAACACTTCCTATTTCTATTCGATTTCATGCCCATGACAAAACGGCACAGGATCGGGCTGCTTCCTTTGGCCCAATCGAGCCAATTATGTCATCATTAGTTTTGATTAGTTTGTTGGCTCATTGCGATGGGAAAACAGCGCAGACAAAGCCGTTTGTTTTGAACTTTGTGGCACTTCCGGCACCACCTACTGTTTACCTTCTTGGCCTGTTGTCCAGCTGGGCGCTGTATGTTGTTGTTTTGGTCGATTTTCGGTTTGAATTGACTGCAATTGCATAATAATGATGAACGTGTTTCTAATTAAGGGTGCATCAGGGCTAGGCATTGGGCCCACAATACCCCTGCAAGCCGGCATGCTGATATCAACTGCTGACTTGCATATCTGTCTCTGATGTTTGCTCGGGCCGACTATCTCTTAGTGAGTGACTGTGGTTTATCTGGGCAAACAGATTAGGGCTCACCTTGTGCCATGTGCGTGGAATAACCATATGAGTATTTCGGTCCTATGTACCACATACATACATGTACATATATGTACATACATATAACATGTGTGAATGCATATGCATATGCATATGCATGCGTATGCAGCTATCTCTATTCATGCATTGCGCAGAGTTGTGCAAGTCCCGGCGTTAGGATTACGTTCCAAATTGCATACATTTGCAGTGTAAGATAATGAGGAGATATGGTCATTAGCTGCGGTGAGTCCTCAGCAAGAGATTAGACAGCAGACAATCGACTTATTATGAGTGTTTATGCAGATAAACGCATCGTTTAGCGCTTGTCGGGACATACCCACTTTTCCGCCTAGGATTAGCCTAAACACTTGGAAAATACGATTGGAAATCGGCAATGCCAGCCGTTGATAAGTAGCTGGAAATGTTGGGCAATGTGTGGCTGGCTCTGGAAGCGTGGCCTGTACAAATATAATTAGCGGGAAAGTCTTATAATCGGAACGAACACAAAATAAAATAAAACTGAATAGAATAGAATTACCAACATGCCAGCCACAGCTACAGTCGCAGCTACAGCCACAGCCACACACGTTGAGCTCCGTGGCATATTCTAGGCAACTGCGTCGATTGTGGCACTTTACTCGTGTATTCGATACAAATCCATTTCTTTACACGAATTTGTCTTTGCTTTATTTTTATTCTACTTTTTATGGGTTAGTCTGTCTTCCCCTATTTGGATTTGTGAAAGTATTTCCAGCAACCGCAAACAAGCGAGCCAAAGAAAGCCAACAAGAGGGCCAGACAGGCTGTCTCCTATTCCAATGCGCCTTGCTGCTGCTGCTGCCCAATAAATTTTCCAATTAAATGGATCCTCTGACACTTTGTACAAAACGTCAGCGCACAGGCACCACGGCTACTACTACTGTCTGTACCCCCTGCCAGCCCCTGGTTGTGTGTGAGTGTGTGTGTCCCTGTGGTTGTGTGTGTGTGTGCGTGTGCTTATGCATATAGGGGATGAGGGTTGTTCCTTGAGGGGTTGAAACCCATCAACGCACTCTGCTTGGCCAAGAACTGGCGCTGTGAAAGGTAGCAATCGCATTTCTACGCTGTTATACCCATCGGGCCGACGACTCCATTTTTTTTTTTTATGCACTGCTCTCTCTTTTTTTTTGCACTGCCCATTCAATTGCTGTGCTATTGTTGCATTGCGAAATTATGGCCCGTATATTTCTCTATTAGGGCACAAAATACATTTCAATTTCTCAGTCTGACGCGCTGTGTGGCCTGGCTAGAAAGTATGCTAGAAGACACAACGTCTTCTGGTCCACATAGCTGGCAATTATACGAGCATAGTTGCGGAATTTGTGGACCACCCGATGACTTTTGTTTGGCCTTTTTGTGGTCATGAATGGCATATAGGCTAGTGCCTCCTACATGGCAATTGTCCTCAAGACGTCAGTGGGTTATTGATAGCCAAACTACTTTCTTGTTAGGAAGTGACTCTGTCTGATATTGTTGTGGAACAATACTATCTTGTTTACGTTTATAGTTGAGCAATTATATTTCTTTCCTCGATTTAAATTCCTGGGAAATGCTGGAGGGATTGCAAAGTTCCTTAACGTCTCTATATATGTGACACAAAAAATATTACGAAATGAAGTACGACAGTTCATTTAATTTGTGAGACCTGCTTGAAAGTTACTCTAACTTGAGGAGAAATTGTTAAAAGTTATTAAATAATATTATATATAATTAAATTTTTAAATAAAATATAAGGTTATTTAAATAATTAATTGCAATAGAAATTACCGCATTTATTAAAAGTGAATTAAAAATATAAATGAGATGTCTATTATAATTTAAAAGAATTAAATGAACTTGGACTCTTACTCAGTATCAAGATATACATAGTTATTTACATGGGTATACATATTTAAAAATATTAAAAATTAGTGTATCAGTATGTTAAATGCAATGAATAAATAAATAAAATATTCTTCGAATGTAAAATTTATATAAATCAGTTTTATGATGATATTTATGCAAATGTAATTTTTCCAAACAAAAAGTAGTGTTTAATTTTTTGCATGAAAAGAAGAATATTTTTGCAAATTTTTTAAGTCATTAGTAGGTAAATTCAAGCCTTTTATCCTGTTCTTCTTGGCCTTAGAACACTTTTTTCCTAAATAGTGATCTATTATTAATGATATCTATCATTGATTATATTAACAGCAACGTAATAAATTCTTTGCATTTTTGGACTAAGAGCTCATCTAAGATTAGTTAGTCAATATAATCATATATATAAATTTTTTTTTTTTTCCTTTTTTATTTCGATTATACCACTAGTTGAAGGACTTACTTTGTGTTTCGCTGTCAAAGAAATTAATTAACCGCATATAGGTAGGTATCATTTAGCTATATGTATATGTATCTAACTTTAAAGTATTTTTAATACAAATAAATAATGCTTATATTGTCTATGTTTAGATAAAACTAGTTAAATGCCTTATATACATATACAAATGAACTAAATTTGCTTTTGTTATGCCTATATATATGTATGTATGTCTCCTATATACATACATCATCATTTAAAAGTTGCCTATTATTCAACGTTTGAGAATGTGATTGACATCGATAAATGATATGTATTTATGGACTTTATACAAATTTAAAGCATCTTCCCACACTTCAGAGTAAAGAATTCTACCCATGCTCTAATTAATTGGCAGCAATTAAAGGACAATACTTAGCAAACATCGCTGTCAATATCGAAAGAGATCCATTCGAAATGCTGACGAAAAGCGTATCATCTTGAGAAATGGGTATTTGAACTAGTTGCCGTCCGCTGGGTTTGGCCAAGTGCTCAAAGTGTGGCCGCTGTGTCTGCTGCAAACAGAATTACAGAAATCAATGGGACATATTATTAGTTAGATCATTGTGCCACTTGTGTTGCAGCAGCAGCAGCAGCAACAACAACAACAACGACGAAGACGTCGCACTGTCTGGCAGAAAATCTTCTCAGGACTGACCAGGGTGGACAGGTAGATGTAGATGCGATGCGGGACCTGCACGCCTCTATCAAGCGACCGTATTGCCATTGTCTGGCTGTCTGTGGAAAAGGTTGAGAGGCAGTGCCCACCGGTCTGCTACGGTTAACAAAATTGCATCTATTGTGCACACGTAGAAGTCACATTGATATTGTGGACCCGGGGTACATATAAATTCCAAATTGTTGTCAGAGCAGACTTTGTGTCTATCGCACTTACTTGCTCAGGTGGGCCACTCGCCATTGTCCTTATGAATGACGCAAGCTGTCGTGTGAGTAATGGCAAGGATACGTGAACAATTGCAACAGACTCCTCCACAGACTGTGAGAAAACTGTGTGAATCGCTTGTCGTTCGATCTGAAATCAAGTCAGCTCTAATATTTCTACACAGATAGATGGAACATTATTACAAAAGATGGATTGGTTATGGCTGAAAAGTTAGAATTGCTTGTCTAAAGACTTTCTGGGCCTGGGCGTTTGACTTGACCTAAATTAATGGTTATTTTTCTCTAGTTTTCTTTTTGTGATTTTTGTGAATGAATTTTCGCAGATTTTGTCCAAATGACTTGGGAGTTTCAACCCTTTGATGAGGATGCATCAAATGTGCCGACGAATGCAAACTGCAAATTTGGCTTTGATTTTACCGGCATGATTCGCATAATTTGCAAAATGATCTGGTTAGTGGGAAGTGACAGTCATTAGGCCATTGCCAAAATGGCCGTGAAATTGTAAATAATAATATAGATTATATATGTATATGAATGTATGTATATTCATATTTATATGGGTATTGATGAATGAAAAAAAATTCTATTTACTATTTTCACTCAAGAGAATTTCTCTTCTGTTTTGAATTCCAAGATTCCAGATGAAAAGATAAAGAAGTAATTGTTTTTTTTTTCAAATGTTTTATATATTCTTTTTTTTTTTTTTTTTTTTTGTAAACATAAATCGTATATTATAGCTCTGAATATTTAACTAGGCATTTAAATGTAAATCGTATATTGCTATTAACCGCATTCAGCATGTAAAAATGTGAAAAATATTCTTATATATGTATATATAAATGTAGATGTCTCTTAAAACTCTTAATCGCTTAGCATAGGAGAAAGGATCACTTAAGGATTTATTTACACAAGTGTGGGTTTTTTACGACGCTTCTACCTCACGTCACGTAGTGGAAATGTAAATATTCATTATAAAATAAATAGCTCAATATTTGCATATATCGTCATGGATATCTATCTGTATCGTCTTTATGATTGTTTGCATAGATTGGTGCTGAGGTAGTTGGTTTAAGTGCGCCTTGATGCGCCAGGTACGCCTGAGGTAGATGCACAGAGCTAGAGTATTGGCCGGCATTGAGTTATTTGTTGTTGTTGTTGCTTAGTTGGTTTGTTGGTAGTTGTTTGTTGCGTTTTTAATGCGTGCAAGCGCTTCACAGATCGCTGAAGCTGTAGCTGTAGTTGTAGCTGAGGTTGTGGCTGGGGCTGGGGTCGGGGGTCAGCTGCTTAGTAGCCATAGAGATATGGATACATGGGCATAAAGATGGCCGGTCCCAGCTGACGCTCTTGCGGCATATGCGTCTTCATGTGCTTCTTGAGGTGGTCACGCCGTCCGAACTTCTTGCCACAGGCGCTGCACGGATACGGACGCAGACCGGAATGAATGCGCTTGTGCCGGGTCAGCTCCTCGTTGCGTGTGAAGGTCTTGCCGCAGGTTTCTACGTCGCATTTGAATGGTCGTTCGCCTGTAAGCAGAGGAAATAGGGAAAATAGAAGTTAGTAAAGCAGGCGGAGGATCCTTCAGTTCAGTGAAACTTACCGGTATGAATGCGGATGTGTCCCTTCAGCTGGCCATTGTTTGAGAAGGCTACGTCGCAGTGGGGGCACTTGAATTTCTTTGGGCGCTGCTTGCGGGCATTCAGTGCCTTCAGCTGGGCATCCTCGGCCATGACACGAGCGTACTCCTGCTCCATCAGGCCCAGCGTGAACGGGTCCATGCCAAAGGCAGCAGCGGCTGGGGTATTGGCGGCGGCAGCGGCCGCAGCTGCTGCGGCGGCATAGTACAAGTCGTTGGCGGGCATGAATGGCGCTGGCTGCGGCGACAGCTGCTGTGGCGCCACAGCTGAGGAGGCTGGAAATGTTGGCTGGGGCGTGGCATCTAGCAGAGGAGTCGATGTCCGTGTGTAGCTGTTGTTTAGGCCATCCTCATAGCTGGATTTACTGCTGCTGCTGCTCCTGCAGCTGCTGCTCGATGAGGATGAGGAGGACTCGCGGTCGCTATCCTGTCCATAGCAGCAGCTACTGCTGCTGGGCAGCTCCGTTTTGATGGTCACTGTTTCGGGCTCACGTTCACGTTTCACGGCCCTGGCGGGCGCTGCTGGAATCTGGCGTTGCGTATCCCAGGGACGGAACAGGCGCGAGTACGTTTGCGGTGGATGCATGTTAATTGTCGACATAATCGTTGTTTCTTATTCTTATATGAGAAAAATCACTGTTTCACTTGGGCGGAGGAACACTTGGCGTGCAATTGCGTAGGCGGAGCGGTGTGTGTGCGTTGCAAGATCTCAACTCGAACTGAGCTCTCTCCGCCGAGCGGCACACAATTTAAAGAGATTTTTTTCATTGAACGTTAAGGTCCTGGCAGTATAGGCCTACCTAGCGGCCTACCTACGCACGCACACGCACACACACACACACACATGCACACATTGAGAGCATCCGTTGCCTGCTTCATTCATTGATTTGCTGCCTATCTGTCTGTGTGAGCGAGAGGCACGCTTCAGGGTTGTTTTTTCGCACCGCACAACAATGGCCGCTCACGCAGACTCAAATACATAGCTACATACACACACACACGCACAGAGAGAGAGACACACGCTGAATTGTATATAATGTACTCACGTATTCTCGCGTTCGCTTTGCTTAGTTTTCATGCCAGCAAATCTAATCGGCTCTCGCAATGGCAGCTTCCTTGACTTTCGCTTTTAATGTGTATATTCCCAGTGATGCGCTACTATTTATTAAGGACATACGTACGCACATATATATAAAATATATATATCTGTATGAATGTGTATGAAAAGAAGTATCTGTTTGCCTCTCTCCTTATTTTTTGTTGTTTTGTAACTCCCAACGGGGTGGAAGTTTAAGCGAAGCATTCATGATTATGAATTTTACGCTTACCTCCCGACAAACCCCCTTATACGCAATTTGATAAAAGTTGTTGTCTTTGAGGCACAAACTGGGCTGGGCTCTGGCCCCCCGGCCCGCCGTGAGCTGAACAAAGCTGCGTTGTAACTTGGTTATCTGTGGGCTGTGGCTGGGTTGATTCGGGCTTGCCCGAAAAATCAAGGGGCTTGCTTTCGCTGCTGCTGCTGCCCTTTTGTGGTGGCAATTTATTATTGAATTAAGTGCTTCTTTCTGGGGGTTGGTCCCGTCTTATGCTTTGCGCTTTGTGGCAACTGTCGTGCTTTAAATATGCAAAATGTGTATCGGGCGCGGTGCGCGTCTATATGTTATATGCTCAGATTTGTAAACGGAGCAAATTGTGGCTTCAATATTCACAGCACATTCTTGGGGGTTTGACTTAAGGTTTGAGCATGTAAAATGGTACAGTTGCTTTAAGTTTATCTCTATGGCTTGTGGGCTTGTGGCTCCAAGGGATGACATGGATATATTGTGGGGCACTTTATGGCCACTGATGGGCGTTTGCTCCCAGCCCCAAGGAGATAAGGACGAAAGTAGATATATTAAGAGATATCGGGTGTTGGTAAGAATAATGTTTCGCAATAGTTTTCAAGAATGGACGGGATAATTGTATGGGTTTATGTAAATGTATATGTATCTTATATGAGAAAATGTACAGCTGGGAGCTTGAAGTCCTTAGAAAAATTAAAAATAAGAGAGAAAAATATTTATTTTCTGAGTAAAATTTAAATGGCAACCACCCTTGGAGAATGTATAGGAAATTTTGTGTATATATTGTAATTATAATTGGGGTTTAAAGGTATTTCATAAAATTTGTAAATAAAATTGCTTAACTGAAAAAACTGGAATTATTTGTTTGTTCTTTATCATTAAGATTCTTCAGCAGAAAAGTTTTGTCCTTGCATTTTCTTAGCGAATCGGTAAAAATTGATGCTGTCATTAATCGATAGTCCAGTTTCTCTATCCGCGATTCTTATGAACGTTGGCTTCATAGTTGAAGCCGCGTCTTCACTTGTCCCACATAAGCCTACCGCTGCGTCATTAGAAACAAAAGGGAAATCATTAGGATTAAGTGCAACTGCTTTGTTCCTCTCAACGCTAATGAATGCAACGGGTGCATTTTGGCTGGGCTGCGCTGCGCTGCATTGCGTCGGGTTAGGTAGGGTTTTAGGGCTGGCTGCATAGGTGATTTTTAGTACCTGCAATAAACTTACAATGCGCCATGGAGATTCATTCACGAGTCGCGTTAGCAGTGCCATGTCGGAGATCGGACTCATTCATAAATGCGCTGTGGCAGGAAACTGAACCGGGCGATCCTGGGTCAGGTAGCTGTAGGTGGGCTGCCGGGCGCGGTGTGGCAGGACCATAAAAAATCCATGAGCTTATTTGTGTAGGCTGGCACTTAGGCAAGCAGCCGCCTTGGATTGGCAACGGGCTTTGGACTTTCCCAGCATGTTTGTCAAATAACGAGCGCGGGATTTTCCACGCATTCGTCGTTCGCATCGGCGTCGGCGTCGGCGTCGCCATTGGCGTCATAAAGTAGCACCTACCTAGAACAATGCAATGCTCATAAATGTGCATTGAAGAGTTTTATAGTGTAATTAAATATGGCACATTTCCAGCCAGGAGCTGTTTCATTCATGGAATATATCGGCGACGCTCTCTTATCGCTACCTGGCCGTAATTAGAGCAAACAATAAGGATATGGCGTCATATTCAAATTTTGATTAATGAGGAAATTTCAGTAGCTCAGCATATGGATATGTGCTAGGCGCCTCATTAGACGGCGACGCTGTGTTGTGGTCAGGGGAAAACACATCCTAACCAAACTGCAAATGCAACTTATGCTAACGTGCTTATCGTCGCATTCCGCTAAACACAGATAAGCCAAGCATAGATCTAGCTCTGGCCCCGATGGATCGTGCATTTCGCTTAAAATTTAGTTTCTTAATCACAATCCGCTTATAGATCAGACTACATCCGGCTCTTTTGGATTAGGGATGAGTGCCATAGGTATTTGAGCGCCTAGAACAGCTTGAATTGATCGCCTCAAGTAATGGACTAGGTGTGATCTTGATACATAGATCAATCTTAATCGGGCTCAACAAGTGATTAGCGTGTGATTCATGTGAGTGTATTAGAGTATATTAGGGGGTTTGGGTTTCTACAAGCCAGAGACTATGCTAAATAGCTAACAACTAAAGTAGTTTTTCATATGGAAACTAGATTTACACAGTTTGTCGTTAGCGGTTATATTTAAATTCGATCCAGTACGTCTTGAATTTATCAATTGAGTACAGCAAAGCATTGGTATAGATATATATGTATATAGCTTATAGCTGCTATTCAATTCTTTTAATTTTGGCTTCAACTTTTCATATTTTTATATGGGTAATATAAATATATGAAAATCTGTAGTTCAAGAGCTTATCAAAATCATATGTATAAAATTCTGTTTCAAAAACATTGGCATTTAACTCGCCTTACATACGTTATAGGGTATCTACCTCTCGAGCATTTTGATTAATAACATCATTGTTTACTCTCATGCACTCAGTAAGAGTCAAGTTCACAGTCAGTGTAACTGGTTTACTAATAGATAAAATTTATTTATGCACATATATATACATGCACACACATACATACATACGTATTTGTTGATAGCCGACTCGCACTTTAACCATATGTAAACAAGTGCATATGTGTATGTATATGAGCTTTCGAAATGTTTGAGAAATTTTTAAATGTTGACCGGCGATATGCCAAAGCTTAATCAAAAGCTTTCAGGCAATAATACGCAATGCTTGATTGAGCAGCTATTTTCTGTAAAAAACGATCCACAGAGTGGAGTAGTTTCGGTTTGCATCGTTGATGAACACTGATGTATTAGTTATCAGATATCAATATTTACTGGTATTGGAAAATTATGATTTTGTATAAGAAACTGAAATCTTCATCCATTCAGCCCAGTGTTAAATCTCTTAAACTGGTTGCTGAAGTATTTGAGTTGATGCCAGAGTTACTTGGGCAATAATACAATATCACACCTTAACACCTCAATGAATTTCGTATTGCATCAACTTCTGCCAGTTTGAGCTCTGACTGTTAGCTAGTCTTTTCCCGCTTATGTTTGAGATATTTTCACTTCAGAGACGAAAGTTTTTTATTTGAGCCTTAATAGAAGTCTTCTGATGATTTGAACAATGCATTTATATTATTTATAAATTTATGTATTTTTTAATTTACATACTATCCTATCATCATTCATAATATACATAATATATATTATATATTACATATATGCTAAATTGACTTCAAATTGAGGAGCTTGTAGTCCTGGTTGGAGTAATCCTGTATAACAATATAAATATATAATATAATCTTAAATTATATTGGATTTAATTGTTCTATCATCATCTAATGAAATCCACAAAAACTAAAGATATCTTCTAGTCAAGTTATCCCGAATACTCTTGTGTGGTTTAGTAGCACGATTATCGGGCAATGAGTTCTCATGTAATAATGCAAAAAATTATATTCATATCAAAGGTGTTCCATGGCACCTAGTAGCCGTGTGTGGGGCCACTGTAACGTAAGCATGTTGGAGAGCTGAGCAAAGATGGGCATAAAATACTGCTATATATGAGTAATAGAAAATATTCACTGTATTTGGGTTTCGCTAAACTGACTAAGAACAAATTCTATAATATTTGAATCATATACATTAATTATATAAAGCTGTTCCACCAAATTTGTAGCTGATTGCATCAATAATGGCAACAGTTTCGCATATATTCTTTCGTCAGGCATTTTGAAGTACATACACTTCATATTTGCTATAATTAGGTGAGCAACGGGCTGATCGTAAACAAGTAATTTTTGATAATGGTAAGTGGTATAAAAATGAATCATATTTAAATCAAAATAAAAAAAAAAAAAAGCAAAGATATATTTAAAATAGGGTATCTAACAGATAAGCATCCTCATCTGAAGCGACATCATCTATTTGATTACTCTCGTTAACCGCACCTACGCTCAGTGTTGTTTGAATGACGGTCAAGTTCACAGTGAAAATAACAGCAACAAAGCTTCGTTTCCGTTAATTGTGAATATTACACACAAATATGAGTTTTCCTCATATGTATGCTCAGCAAGCGTATGCATGTATGTACTCGCACATACATACATTTGCACATATATTTAATTAATTCAAGTGCCAAAGCAATTTCATCATTCGTACGGCTGTAAGCCAAAGCTTGGAGCAAAAGCTCCCACTTGACTCGCCCATTCGAGTGAAACTAAATAAGGTAATTTCAGTGCGCTTCGCGTTGCGTTGTTTAGTTTTAAATTTGATGTTCGCTCGATCAGATGGTGTAGATCAGTAGC